TGTAGTTACTGGTCTTCATGCAACAGAGGAGTACAACAGCCACACTATGTAGCTCCCACCAGGATGTAAAAGCCAGCGTTATCACAATAACGTTTTTCTTGTGAAATTCATCTAAAACGTAGCCTAAAGCTTAGAAATAGGCAGATGAACTGTAGTAGCTTCACTGGTTCTGTGCTAAAATTAATTAGCTGATTTGAGAAATAAAGTATGCTAAAATGTCAATTCCGAATGAGTAAAAACTGGCATCACATTGTTTAAGTTCTATGTATTAAGGCATTTGTTCTCTGCCAGGCATTCCTTGAAGGTAGAGACTGTGTTATTCAGTATGTGACCTACCACACTGTAGAGTATGTGCTCAATAGTTACTAAAGTTTGTTGACTTTAATAGGCTAGCTGAAAGCTTGGGAAAATTACTACTTAAAATGTTTTTTTAAAGCACAATCCAAGAAAAAAATATAAGATCCATGGTCATAAAAAAAGGTGTAATATTTACCATTCCTCTACTTAAATAAAGTAGTAAGCAAGTTGGCTTTAAAGTAATGACTTTATTAATAAATATACATCCATATGATGATGTAGATACAAATCATGAACACTACTCCATTCCCATACACATAATTGCACACGAGTAGCTCAAGTTCATGGACATAAAAACATACACAGTATCTATTCAGACTTTTTACAGCAGAGGACAGCGTGCTTATATCAGTTCATTGGTAATTATTTTCTCCACAGTTATCTGTGGAAAAAGGAAACGGTGAAACTTAAAAGAGTCAAAGTGGTCTGATTACTATAAATCACACACTTGATTTACTACAGCATTAAATTTTCCAAAAATTAAATACATTATATGTGAGAGCAGAGATTTATCTACTTGGAGGTGAAGGGGAAAAAATAAAGATTTAGATACACCCTAGAGTTTAATAGGATATAGTTAAGCTATAATAAAAACAGAAACCTAATAGCATTAAAATATTTTATGTCCAAGGAAAAATGTTTTCAACAACTGCTGTGAATTCTTTTATTTTACTATAAAGGGATCATAAAATTTTACTGCATATAGAGACAATGACTGACAAAGTACCAGTTATCGTCAACATCCCCTGAATTATCGTTTAAAGCTTCTTAGAATATAAAAGAGGTGTTGTTGTTCCTTTTTTTTCTTTAGCTCATACACTGGTTTTTCTTACACTGGATGGATTATCTTTAACGTAGTAGGTGGAGTCAGATATTTTTTTCCTCCTTAACTGAATCTCTATTCTTATTTCATGAAAATATACATGTAAGTTTACACAAACATCAGTTTGGAATGAATATTGCTTTTACTACTCTAACAGATTTTTTTTAAAAAGTAAATAAAAATATAAAGAATTTCTTCAATTGAAACATTGATTTTAAAAAGTCCCAATATTAAAAATTAAGCCAATACTTTTCTTCCAACACAATGTGTATTTTTTTAATATCCAGTGCAAAACTCCAAAGACAGTATCAAAATCATCCCATACTAAAGATTAGTTTTGCAAGGTTATATTTGTCAAAAGATGAAAATTTCATCTGCATTATCTCATTGGTTAACATGAGAATAAATAAGGCATGTTAAAACATTTTTAAAAGAAAAAAGTATAACAAATGACCAGCAGATCATTTTCTGAGCAACAGTTTCAATATAGAATAGTGAAACCTATTTTGTGAAGAGAATTATACAATATAAAATTAGCAATTCGCCTTTAAAGGAAGAATCATACAGTCGGAAGAAAAGTCCAGTTCTCCCCAAGTGATATTAAAGTATAGGCATTTGTTTACATGCTATTTCAGTGTTTATCATGACAACAGACGGTGTTACAAAAGATGTACAATGTAGTCTTCAGATTATAGAGAAGTAAAAATATTTTATATTTTAAGACTTCGTGTTATTACTTAGATGTGTCTTTTTAAAAATGTAATCTTTTATTGTATTTTTTGTCCATTACCATTTAGTCCCTTACACCCCCTCCCCCACTGAGGAGGTTTCCTCTTCAGCATGGCACCAATAAACTGTTCACAAGGAGAAAAGGAAGTAGGATCAGGAGATGCTCACCAGCACACAGACATAGTAGTCCACGCAACTGACACGAACAGAAAAAGTCAGCTTCCCAAACGATGTTATCCACTCACTCCCTTTTTTCCCTAAGACACAGCTCCTGATACTAATAAACACTGTTACGAACATACTTCCTTGATTTCAGCATTTCACTGAACATGTATAAAAAGTTCAGCACACAGGAATCTACCTGCTCTACTTCCTGACACACAGCACAGCACGCTGAGTGGATGTGCCGGACAGTGCGGAAAGGGCAGGGAACTGAACGGAGGTAAGGGCAGGGAGGAAGGAAAGGTTACATGTAACAAAATCAGGAATCAAAATAAACTGAAGGACAATGTCAAATGGACATACTAAGAAACACAACATGCAATCAAATGTACAGTAGGACATTTAATTAAACGACTGTACTCAGGAACTCAAAAGAGGATTTCTAAGCAGTCAGCTGCTGAACATCACCTTGAAAATAGCTAAATGACAGACACATCATAAAAGTGGATAAACATATAAATAAAGATGTAAGCATTTGTGTGTGTCAGAAGTTATACTGCTTTGAGTAAATTACTAAAATTTTATATTTTAAGCTTCTGCAAGAAGAAACTCGTGTAGCAATTTAGCTGCCAAAATGTTACAACTGATTATGTAGTCACCCAACATTGTTCTCTATGGTTTGTGCAAGGTTAAAACTGCTGAGGTCACTGTCTCAGATGCCAGTGCGCACAGTTCCCACGCACAATGCTACACCTCTCACTGTAAAGAGCAGCACACAGTCCAGCTCATCGTGTCAGGCATCACTGCAACACCTGAAGGCTTGCTGCTTTTCTCCTGATAAAAAAGGTATGAAACATGACATCCATTTGCAAGCAGAGGCTGCACTAACTGGGAGCAAGCCTGAATAACACAATATACGCCTTTTTAAACTTTTAATTATCTTTTCTTTTAATAGGAAGCATGGATTTTTTTAAAAAGATTTATTTACTTTTAGAGAGTGGGGAAAGGTGAGAAAGAGAGGGAGAGAGACTTCGATGTGTGGTTGCCTCTTGCACACCCCATACTGGGGGCCTGGCCCACAGCCCAGGCATGTGCCCTGCCTGGGAATCGAACTTGGCGACCCTTTGGTTCGCAGCCCGTGCTCCATCCACTGAACTACACCAGCCAGGGCACTTTTAATTATCTTAAGTTTCTGGGTCCTGCAAATCTACTTTATAATCTCAAAAAGCATTTTAAATTGCAAATACATACATTGTAACTTTAAAGTTCAGTGGAATTTTTTTCAAATCCAAAGTTTATAATAGTTTATTTAGAACAAACACAGAATAAAATATGTATTAATAAAGAATATTATTTTCAGAAGGGGGGCAAAAGAAATTTCCTTCTGTCCTTACTATACACATCTACCCGATATTTTTTTTTTCTAACTACCTTGCTTCGAGAGAAAACACTGTTGGAAAAAATCTGGAGTGGAGGGGTGAAGAGAGCCACAAATAGATTTGTAATTAAACTAACCAACGTTATTTTTTACATGTTTCATGTACAGGTGGATTCCTATATATTTCTTAATATTTGTGTTCTGACAGTCAGAAAACTGAGTGCTGTTTGTATCAGTGTTACAGCCTACCATGTCCAAAACTGAAACCACAGTAAGTGCTAATGCAAAGGGACAATTCCTCAGAAAAAAACTAAAAACATTCTGAATATATGAGTAATAATAATAAATGTTTTAAGCATGTTTTGAAACTAAGTGTATGAAAAACAAAATATAGTGAATGCAGTTCCACGCAAACCTTAAGAATGTTTTTTTCTATTATATTACATATGCTAGTCTCAGAATGCATCGTATTTCACCAATAATGTAATGTGCAGTTTTCATTAAAAAGCTTATTTTTTTTGTAAATATGAATTGTTTGTAGTGTTCAGTACATATGGTCTTAGGCAATTAAAAAATATACAACCTATCATTGCTGAAAAGCAAACACTAAATAATTCCTTTTGGAACAATGGTTAAATCAATTAATGCCATTTAGATCAATAAATAAGAAGCTGCCTAAACCCAGAACACTAAAAATAAAAATTTTAACATCTAAAGCCTATGTAAATGCCAAAGCATACAAACAAAATATCTGTGTCTTGTCTCATGAAAATACATGTTACAAAATTTCACAGCCATACTTCAAACAATCTTGAATCATTAGTTTGTTTTGTTCCATCAACTAAAAATACCTTAGATATTACCTTTAGTATACTGTAGGCTTACTTCACAGACTAATAGGTATAATGGTTTCAGTTGTTTAGCACATGAAGCATCTATTTAGAATAGCCCAAAAGTAGTAATGAAATATGAGACATAACCATACTCTAAAGAAAAAGCAAATATGATTTGGTTAGGTGTTACACTTGAACCTATGTACAAATTCAAAGCCACTGCTCATGCCCTGAGTGCATCTGTCAGCATACGGTGGTTTTTGAGCAAAAGCAGGGGGGAAAACCACCCAAACAAACAGGAAAACAAATTTGGAAAGTCCAGGCCAAAAAATCTTGTGTGTCAAAATAAAACCAAGAAGCTTTGGGATTATTCACAACCTTCCTTTAAACCTGGCCCTCCTTCCCTGCCTCACTCACTCACTGGGAGGCTTGACTTCACTGCTATTCTCCTCTACCCCGTGCACCGCTCTGCCATGCATCATAGGGTAAGGAAAAGCAGCAGTGCCACAACCATAACCAAGATCGGCGAGGCGGGACAGAGCTTTGATGCTGCCCGGAGGTCTCCCTGGGCTGACTTTGTACCCTGCAGCTTTGGTTGTGCCCAAAGGTCTGCCTGGACTCGTCTTAAATCCAGCTGCTTTGGTGGTCCCCAGGGGTCTGCCTGTGCTGGTCCGGTATCCTGCTGATTTGGTGGTTCCAGAAGGCCGGCCACGCTTACCAGATCGATTGAGACTTTTCTTTTTCTTTAGTTCATCTTTTATCTCTATGCTTCTGCCACTTGTAGTCTGCAAGTGCGTGTCGTTTAACGGGTCTGGCCTCTGACAAGCCATTGGTTTGTGGCTGACTGTGTGGCTGTATTTGCTTTGCTGGGAGGAGTATATGTCAAACTGATCGGCAGCTCTCATGGCATCTTCACTGAGGCAAGAAGGCTTGCCAGGCCCACAGAAAGCTGGATTACTGTTGGCAACAGGATGCATCATTTTCTACCAAAAATAAAATACAAATATGCATAAATACACATATACAAATATATATCTGCATGACAGCATTCAGTGGGAAAACAGTCTGTCTTCCAGCAACTATGCAGGCTACCTAAAATTAGGCCGACCAGGCAGGGCTCCAGACCACTTATAAACACACACACTTCAGCAGATTCAAAGATACTTGTTTTTCTCAATTTAATCATGGGTAGAGACAAAATGCCATATAAACTCAACGATAATACAGATATAGTAGCTATAATACTCTCTGCTTAGGAAATTAAAAGGTGTGTAGGTAGAAAAATGTTATATTCTGTAGGAATATCTTCTATTTTCCTATATAATCTATATTCTCTTTTCTTTTAAATTACTAAACCCCAAAAGGATAACAGTAAAGACAAGAACTCTTATTAAGATGATTTTTTCAGTTTGCCTAACATTCTTAGAATGTGTCTCCCTTTGGCCTTTTATTGTATTTCTCACATGTATAATTCTGATCTGGCCACAGTTTCCAAAACTCACTCATCATTACTGCAATTTATTATTTATACAGAATCCTGAGTGTATGTTACACTTTACAATAGATGGAATGTACCAAACAAGGAACACAATCTCTTGGCCTAATGTCTGGACTCCCTTCAAACTACTCTATTCAAACAGAAGGCAATACCAATATAAAGAGTAAACAAAGGTTTCCATTAGCTAAAATGTTTGTTAAATGAGCGAACATTTATATAAACAATTGAGACCTATATTACAAAAACGTGGGTAAAAACCGTAACAAAATACTTTGCTTTGAAGGTCTGGTTATTAAGACAAAAAGCTGAATGTACAACACCGCTTTCTCCCTTGATCATAAATAGCACGTGGATATGTTTCCCTCCCAGGAGCCCCGTGACACACCGCCTAAAGTCTGTTTCGTCTGTAAGGGCCACCCTGAGATCTGTTTTCTCTTTATAAAGGCTGTACCACCACCACCACTGTGACAAACCAGGGCTAACAGCCACATCATTAAAACACACAGAAAATGAAGAGTTTACGAAAAAGATAAATATATGGGTTCTGATTCAGAAAGAGTCTCAAATGTATACGAAGGCCTAGCCCCAAGTTGTTAGATATTTCCTTATACCCTTACCACATGCAAAAGTGCACCAAAACCTCACAAAAGTAGTTACTCTCAGAGGCAAAAAACAGTTAATGAATGTGAGTCAAAACCACTGTAAATTTATTTCAGTTTATAAAGGCCAGAGGAAATGGGGATCAAGTCACAGAATTGAATTCTGTTAAATTACTAAGTATTTGCTGAAAATCATCAGATACAGGGCTGTTAGCCAGCTGGCTTAAAGTCTTAACTGTCAAGGAAAAACACTGACAATGAGAAACTATGTGTTTATGACAGAAGCCTTATAGTCTTAGAACATAAAACAAGACTGAGCTAACTAAACACAAATATAAAGGAGTAATTCTTCACTCATTCCTCAGGGATACAGTGAGAACTAGGTTACTAATTATCACTAGCTCAAATTCTAATTTCAGATGAGAAATAAGGAGAGATCATCAAGACATGTTCAAAATGTATTAACATTAGCTGGAAGTTAACAGTTTTTGAACATTTTCTATGTGTCAGGTAATAGGATTACACTTTGCACATTATCTGATTTAATCATCACCACAACTCTATGAGGAGCATACAATTATTAACTCTGTTTTACAGAAACTGAGGCAGACTGCAGCAACTTCCCAGGGTCACCCATTAGGAAATGGTAAAGCCAAATACGAATCAAGATCACCTGCCTTCGGAACCAACAATATCAGTATAGTGTAAAACCGTACCAGGGTTTCTCAATAGTAGCCCTGTTACCTGGGTCATAATTCCTCATTGTGGGGGGTTGTCCTGTGCATTGTAAGATGCTTAGCAGCATCCCTGGCTTCTACTCGTAGATGTTTGTAACTACACCCTCTTCTTTCTCCTCCCAACTTCTGACAACCAACAATTTCTCCATTCATTGCCAAATATTCCCTGGGGGACAAAATCCACCCCCAACAATGAGAATCACTCAACTATACTAAAATGAAAATATAGGACTTAATTTAAAATATTTCTGATTAAGTTTTTATTTACTTCTTTAGCCCCTACCTATTCAAACATTCACAAAACCTTCCTGTTGATAACATCTATAAACATTTGTTTTCCAAATTGAAGAGGAGCCAATACTGGGATTTGTGCAGGGACCAACCACATTCCTCTCCCCTTCATGTTATAAGCTAATTGAGGAATATGCACAGACATTAGATAGGAATCAAAACACTAGTTTATTTCCAATAAAGATGGAATAGAGACCAATCGCAAATACAAAGAGAAACATACTCAGACTTTTGAGCAGAATATTGTAGAGAAAAGGTGGCCCCTGTTTCAATGTTATTATTCAGAAATCACCCTTCTGGAAAGCTCTAGTAAAAAGAGGCAGAAAGGTCCAAATTCTCTTCCATAGGAAGCACTGCCAGTAAATGGAGAAAAACTTTTCCCTACACTGCTTTATAGTTCCTTTTCACTGCTGTATAGTTCATGCTTTTTAAGTTCCTATCACTAACTTACCAATACCTTCCCTCAACCCTACAGTCTTTAACTTCATTTTTTCTTAATATATCAGAACATTTACCATCTATTAGCACTCAGAATATATAGAATCCCAACTTAGATTTGTGTTAGAATTTTATTTCATTTGAAAACTTTTATAAGAATCTATTTCAGCCAAATTGATGACATATGCTGGGAAGCAAGATCTCAAATGCTCCCACATTAACACTGGGCAATTTTAGAGGCAAGATGCTATTTGACATCCATTACTCAGAAACCAACCAACACTGGAAAGAAAGAAAAAAAACAAAACAATCACTGTAAAAAAATAGTTCTGCCCTGACTGGTGCAGCTCAGCTGGTTGGGTGCCTTCCTGCAAAAATGAGAGGCCTGGGGTTGGATTCTGGGTCTGGGAACAGGCCTGGGTTGCAAACTCTATGCCCCTTCTCCCCGAGAGGCAACAGTTTTGATGTTTCTCTCCCTCTCTTCCCTTCTCTCTAAAAATAAATAAATAAAATCTTCATAAAACTTTCCCAATTAAAAAAACTAAAGTATTCCTTCAATTTTTTTAAAACAAAGTACCTTTCCCCAATTCCTTTAACCTTTCCCAGAAATGTATGCATTTGGTTTGTATTATGTTAATTTACTTCTGACAAAGCTCACATTTACTGAGGACCAACACCATGCAAAGCACTAATACACAAAAAAGGAGTAAAGCTGTTTATTCCAACAAAAAGACAACGACACAGGGACTTAAAGTACATTTCTAAGGGCAGTTTTCTGTATATTCTGCATTTTCCTGCCCCGCTGCTGCCAAGAAAGCAGTGCAGTATTTTGCTTATTCCCTAACTACTTAACAACCTGGGCAAGAAATTTATTTTAAGTTACTCATGTAAATAGTTATCTAAAAAAGAAAACAGAGCTAAAACCAATCTTTTTCTACTTTCAGATTTCGACCTGTTAAGACTGCACCATTAGATCCTTGTGTGTGTAAACTATTTACATGGAGGTGTAAGTGTGCCGTAGTTGTATATACAGGCATTAATCCTGCACTTAATAATCCTTTCCCACTCCCACTTCAGGGCTCGCTGTTACTTCTTGAAGGACTCTTCCCACACTACGCGCAGAGTTTACTGAAAGTACGCAGAGCACATTTCCTATCTCGGAATTAATTCCACGATTCTAGAAAGTCTGGACTTAGTGAAAGACAAGCATTACAGAACAGACTGTGTGTGGACTACCAAGAGTTAGTTAATTATCTATTAAAATAGTTCACTGAATATAAGGGAGCCAACTAGGAGCTTCTATATATTTTAACTATGTCTAAGTTAGAATTTTTAAAGCTTACGGTAAATTTTGCCATCCCTGGAGTTGTTCTGACGGTGTGTGTAGCCCCTAAAGTCTTCCGGTGAGCTGTTCTTTAGGAAACAATTCCTTTCCCTCCCCCTGAGGGGTGGAGGTCATTAATACCATGAAGAACTATATTTTTAGTAACTTTCAAAACATTCATGAAGCTTTCTAAACACGGAGGAAATCTGCCTTTCGAGAATTCCAAGTTCTGCCCTCTTCCAAAGATCCAACGTCATATAATTCTCAGAGATGTATTTCAGATCATTTGGCTTCTAACAACTGTACAGGATCATAGACGAATTTAAACCTCTAAATGAAAGTCCGTTTGTGACTCACCCACCTCAATCACCCAGAAAGTCCACGCAGCAAAGACCAAACAAATGCCAATAGCTCCGCGTCCTGCCCACCACGGAAAGTTTTGACACTAGGGCAGAGCGTATAACGGCCTCTTTGTCTTCTTTCCACTCCTTAATTGCGCCCTACGGCGCAGTTTCCCCACTGCCAGAATCCTTAGCTGACAGTAGGCCTTGGGAAACGCAGTACCTGTTGTGCCTGAAAGCGATTATTACTGTATTAGCAATAACAACTTTGCAGACCATACACGCCCACGCTTAGAGAAAGGGATGTGCGCCCTCCATAATCGAAATCTCCCGTCCGCCGAGCGAGCACTCGGAGTTGTGCAAGCTGCAGAAGTCCACAGGCCACTCCATCGCGATGTCCCCGTCGAAGAGGGCTGCTGATTTTGACCTCTGAGGGAAGAAAGGATGACCCCTCCCGTCCGCAGCAGAGGAATTTCCCCCCATTAATGGCTCCAAGCCCAGGGAAGAGCAGGCTACGGCCCGGGCCCCTCCTCCCGCTCCGGGCTAGGCCAGAGCTCCTCCTCAGGCGCGGGTCCGAGACCTCGCCTCACTAGCTGGCAGGGCCCCGTTCTCGCCATCGTCTAGACTTCTCCACGAGACCCCGCGGCCCCGACTCTACTCCCAGCCGAGCTGACAACTCCCCTCGCGTCCACCTACCTCAGCCGCTAGTAGCCCGGCACCTCAGCGCGCCCAGGGGCTGCCCATCGGCCGCGAACCTCACGCTGGCAATGCTCCCTTCCAAGCCCGCCGCCTCTGCACTGCGCGGAGAAGAGCCCAAGGCAGAATGGCAGACACGTAGGTCGGCGGCGGCGGCGTGGCGGAGGATGGCTACCGACTACGGCTGCGGCCACAGTTCAGGGTCCTGCCCCGAACGCCAAAGGAAGAGGCCAATACAGCCCCGCACTGAGAGGGGGCGGGGTGGGGCGTGCGCGAGCCCATGAGGACCGCGCACGCGCACGCACATCGCGAGATCCAATCTCCCGCCGACGACCAGCGCGTAAGCTCGAGGAAAGGAAGGAGGCAGCCAGAATGCGCTTGCGCGTCGTGGGACCCGCCGGAGGCGGAGCGTAGACGCCAGTGTTTCAGACTCTAGTAGACCCTGGGCTGCTGCCGGGATGGAGGTACCCACCAAGAGGGAAATAACTTTAGTGAGTTGTTTCACCCCAATTCTGTGATGATGAAACTACTGATCCCATTTCTCAGGTTACAGGATTAGTAAATGGTGGAGTCAAGATTTGAATACAGCAGTCTTGTTCCAGCTTTTAAGCACTGTTGGCACAGATTTATTTTCTCATTGTGCTAGGCGCTGCTCCAAGCATATTAAAGACTCGGCTTCTGCCCTGTAGTTGCTTATGTTGGGTAGAGTGAGACCTCCACCTGCAAACAAAATACAAGTATCCAAATAATAGGTGGTATTTGGATTCTCAGTTCTAGGATTACATGATAATGAAATGCCCGATTTTGTGGGACACCCTTAATTTAAAGTTTTTACATCCATGACCTCCTCAGAATTGCCATATTCATTCATGCTCACAAAAAGTAGTTTGCTTACAAACCCGCCCACTCTTTTACATAGTTATTGAGATTTCTGGCATGTCAGTCACCCCATATATACCATTTAGCAGAAGGGGTTAGTTTCCGTAGTTGTTCTTCCATGAATTTGAAGATGTCAGAAAGGCCAGTATCTAGAATTAGGAAGGCTGCTGAGAGGAAGACACTTGATTAGAAGTGCAAAGAGGCTAGAAGTGGGTGCCTGTCCTTTTTGCCCAGTGTTTGAGGAGATGGTTCTCAGCACCAAGCTCTAACGTGATGAGCACAGAGCAAGTTCCCTGGCCAGGTTCTGCTGTCAGTAGGAAAGAAAGGAGGAGCAACTTTTCTGGGTGAACACACAAGCCAGGAGTGAAATCAAATTCAGTACATAAAACAGGCAGGCCCATTCATTTTCTGGCAGGCAGTGTTTCATAACTTGATTTTAAATACCATTCTAATTACTATGAAAACACTAGAAAACAAGACTGATCATACTAGTATTACTTACATATAAAATGAAAATACCCATATATAAAACAGCTAAAATGTGTACACATAATGTGTTGGTTTATTCATATTAAATATCACTTCAACAAACTTCTTTAAAATGTTTCCCTAAGCATGGCTTCTTTTTTAAATGGAATTTGAGAATGCATTAGTTTCCCATACCATCACTATTCCAGATCCATAACTTTTAACTTCTATCTGAAATGGCATTTGTATATAAAATCACTTAACAGAAACTTTTGTATTAACAAGGTCAAATAATTTACAAGCCCAAATTCTCCTTTGGAGAAGGAGCCAAAGTAACAGAGAAGTCAGATATTCCTGGGTTTGAATGCCATTTTGCTATTTGACTCCTTTGGTACCTTGGGCAAATCACTGCTATGAAGACAATGCCCTCATTGTAGGGCTGTGCAATTAAATGAGGTACTAGGTGAGTAGAGATGTGATTTTAAATTCCAGGTCTACCACTTCCTAGCTGTATGACTGTGGATAGTGATTAGTCAATTCAATTCAACAGGAATGTATTGAATGCAAGGAACTACATAATGCCATTTCAGATAAAAGAGAACTAAGGTTCAAAACATATACTAGGGATACAGGATAGACATGATTCCTGACCTCAAGAAGTTTACATTTGGTGAGGTAGACAAAAGCTCAAATAATCAGTATAGCATTAAATGAAAAGTGATCTGGTGTTTTCTGATAATTATCTCAGGTTGGTCTTAATGAGGTACACAATACAGGTATACAACGTACCACTACTTCTGGAAGTAGAGGTTTTTTCAAGAGCGTAGCCATTTATCATCACTTCAATTACAACAAAAGCATACTTTTCAATCTCACATTATTTGATGTACCTCCCATTTCTTCTTCAAAAGCATACACCCTGGCCTCGACCAGAGTGACTCAGGTGGTTGAGTGTTGTCCCGCAAAGTGAAAGGTCACCAGGTAGGTTCCCAGTCCGAGCACATGCCAGGATGCGGGCCCAGTCCTATATGAAGCTTGTGCCTCCTATAGGCTGATTGTGCAGGAGGCAGCCAATCGATGTTGCTGTCACATATCAATGTCTCTCTCCCTCTTTTCTCCCTCCCTTCCCCTCTCTCTAAGAATAATAAATACAATCTTTAAACAAAAATGATGTACACCCTTGTAATATAATTTGGACTCAAAACTTTTCTTTTTCTTCTCCAAACCTTCAGCCTGGCCCAGGGCAGGCCAAACCATAAAGACAAATCACCAGTTAGTAAGATTTTTGAATAAAAAATAATAAAAAAGGTCACTGTATATGTGCAAAAGGAAGGACATAAAAAGAATCTGTCTGGAGCTGAGAACTGGCTGCCTCTAAAGACCTTTCAAATGAGGCAACAAGTATTCTTAAACACTTTAATGTCAAAGAAAAGATACACATAGAAAAAAGGAATCTCACTTTCTAGACTTTAGTGCACCACCAATTGTCCTTACAGGTACATGGCTTATAAAACAATTTTGAAAGTTACAGTAATATTGAAACATATCACAGGAAAACCCACTCCCACTTACCCATTGTAGTGATAACAGTACCAGTATTTACCAAGTGCTTACCACATATATACCAGACACTGTCTTTCTATGCTTTAAGGCTTTCTATGTTGTTATTTCACCTCATTTTCACAACTCTGAGAAATAGATATAATATTCTCATTTTATATACAAAAAAACAGACGTTTCAAAGCATTTAAGCAACTTGCCTAAGGCTGTCCAAGTACCTCCCATACATGTAAATTTATTTTTAATTATGTATACAAACAGTTGTACCAATACTGTAAGGAAATAGTATTCATAATATATTTTGTAACAACACATCATAAAACCTACTCAAAAAAATTTAAAGGATGATTTTAAAATAAATACAAATAGATGCTCTGGTGTAGTGTTCCGGCTTCCCAATGGCTTACTATACATGTGCCCCACTTTTGAGACCACTGCTTTGTATCAGAGAAGTCAAAATCCAAGAGCAAAAGAAAGTCAAGATCATCACTTGTTTTCAAACTTGAATGTGTATCACAGAATCATTACCACCCCAGACACACTAATAATAGCAACAGCAGACCAATAAAAAGTTACAGAGGAACTTATGTCTCTTTGAAGTTTCCAGGCATGCACTCCCCCGCTCCCTCCACCAAGCTTTCCAAATCTGAAACTTGGGCCTAGGATGGCTTTTGGGATAGAGAGGACTCTTTTCCAAAAATCCACAATATAGTTCTGGGTATCTCAGCTCCCAGAAGGCTCTTAGGCAAAGGCATGGAGAAGAAATACTCCCTTCAAAGATCTCTGCACTGGCTGGACCCAGGCACCTGAGAGCCTCCAAGGAATTCAGGAGTAAAGGTCAAGGACACTTTAACATCCAGAACAGCTACAAGTGCCTGGAATTGATAGGCTGCTAAAAACCCATCTACTACAAAATGCCAAGTTCAAATGACGTGCTTTTTCTGTGGACAAAGAGCACATTTCTCACACGGAATTCTCACATGTTCTTTATTCTATAAATAGAAAAAACTAAAAAAGGAACTAAGATTTAAAACATGTACTACCACGATTTTCCAAATATTAAAAATGATTAGGATTTTTAAAAATTCTAAACTTTTTTACCATAATACCAACAATGTATGACAGAGTAACAGTTACAGTTCCCCAAAGGGATTCAAACTTTTTCATTTCATAGTTTCCCCCTCCACAACAGAACAAGGTTAATGCAAAGTTAAATTTTATTTTTGAAGGCTGGAGCTTCAAAACCATGTACTCCTATAGGCTGATGCTATGTTTGGAAGAGAACAAGGTCAAGAAAAAGAATAGAAAGTAAATTCTTCACCAGTCACATGATTTACAGTAAGTACTTACCATACATATATAAACTAAGCCAACTGGCACTAAAAAGGTGAAACCATTGATAATTGTGGCAATTTTGCAAAGAATACATTTGTTCACATTTTTTCTTCACATTTCCACTTGGATTCTTGCCTGAGGAACCTGTTAGTTGATACAGAACTTACAATCTTGCATCAAGTATCTGCATTGGCAACATGTCAGGGAATCTTTACCCAGGGAGGGAAGTGTAGCCACTGTTAGCTCCAGAGAGCTGGGCTAAGAGACTGTCTTTTTTTATTAGTCGGTGTGAACAAAGATGTTGCTAAACTCCAAGTTAAAAGCCCCACTCATCTGAGATTTTATTAAGGTGTTCTGATGGTTACACTTAAATAGAATATAAAGTCTACCCCTCCAGATATACTCATTTATTTGCATTCTCTGTATATTTATTCGCACTACATTTTTAAACATTAACTTCCACTTTCAAGTAAACAAATACTATCGGGGGGGAAGCTTTTCATGTCAGAAACAGAAAGTATAAGAAAATGTCAATAAATTGCAATTCTTATTTAAAACCATGTACCAAAATGTGAACTGGTAGCTCCAGACTCCAATCTAATAGGAAAAATATTCTCATGCACCACAATGGGCTAGCCACGCAAAGCTCCTGCCTGCTCTGAACACTCAGCAACCATCATCTATAAAGCACCAAA